TGAAATACATATAATTTTTTAAACTATGTTTAGAAATAATATTATTTATAACTTCCAAACATGATTATTTTGAATGGCTAATGATTTGATTTACATTCTGAGGAGCAATTATAAATTTAATGTTAATAACTAGCCATTATTTTTTTTTAGAGTAACCACCACCCTGTCACGGGAATATGCATGTTGTATAAGCTATTGTTTAAATTTATGAGAAATATATTATTTTATTTTTTTATATATATTATTACATTAATGAAATACAGTTGATGAGATATGGGAATATTTTCTAATCTTTGATATTCAAGAATAGCATCAGGGTCTGTGATAAATGCTGATCAATCAAGATGAGATATTTGAATATTGTTCCAGTTTGGACATCTACTAAGAGCAACATATGCTTGTCCAGATGAAAAATATTTCCATCTAATGCAAGACATACTTTTGGTAAAGTAAGGCTTGTGTTTTGTGTACAGTTGAGGCAAAGCAATTTGTATAGGAAATTGGGTCTGTGACAATTGCATCCATCATTTTCAAAATAATGAGTTGCCTATAAACCTGAATATTTATTATTGATCCTTAAACTGAAAATGCTACCCTAACAGATTGATCTATAAGATTAATATCTGTAATAATTCCCATGGTTCCATTACAAATACCATGTTCTATTAAAAGAATTACTAAGGTACAAAACATGTACACCAGGTTGTAAATGGATAGAAAAAGGTAGGTTTGTTTTTGATTTGAAAAATTGTTTGGAATCATAAGTATCCTATAATTCAGAACCTATTGAATCTGATGCTCTTGAAATTAAAAATTTGTTATTTGGAACAGGTAATAAGTTACAAATTATTCTATTAATTTGTTGTGCACTTTCTCAAAAATTCACAATATGTGTTATATTAAGTAATGAATCAATAGTAGAATGTGTCAAAAATTCAGAAGCACATTGTTGTAATAAATTCCATGTTTCAAGTGAAATATTATTAAATCAAATTGCTTCTAACATGTTATAAAATTCTGGATCATTATTTTGACATTGATTTGTTCTAAGAAATAAAGGATAAAATAATTTCCAAATACATGCTTTGAATACAGGTTGTCTTGCAACAGGTGGAAGTTGAGCAAGATCACCAATTACAATTACATTAATTCCTCCAAATGCATTTGCATTATTATGTAAACTTGCAAAAATATTAGAAATAAAATCAAATAGTTTAGATGAAACCATTGAAATTTCATTAATTATAAAAGTATTAATTTTTTTTAATCACTCAATAAGTTCATGATTGGAATGAGCTCATGTACAATAACTTCTAGCACTAAAAGTAATTTGTAATTCTGAATAAATTGTTCAACCATAAATATTTTGCACAACAACACCAGTAGATGATAGTAATAAATAATTTGCATGTCTTTGATCAAGTATAGTTTTAATTAAATTAATCATATAAGATTTTCCAGTTCCAGCAGATCCAGTGATAAAATAATATGGCCACTTAATTCCATCTGATGGACCAAGATGCATATTAATTATTGATAATATGTTATATTAATCATAAGTTAATTCAAGCATAACTGTTTCAGGAAAAATAGGCAATAAAATTTTTAAATTTTGTAATTGGTTATTTATAATATCAGAAAGATTAGGTGGAAGTTGTTCATTTAAATAATCCAAAAGTCAATTAAGCATTTCAATAAATCTATTATCTAGATGTGTTATATGTGATTGATATGTTTGTCTAGTTTAACTTTGTAAATTACTTAAATAGTTTGGAAAAAGTGATAAAAATTTTTCATGATAGGTCAATTTTTATAATCTGATTCATTTCTAGCTAGAAGTTTTAATAATAATTGTTGATAAAATGCAATTCTCCATCATTAATTTTTAAAAAATCAATATCTAATTATTATATTTTTATTACATTTAACAATATAATTATTTAAATTATCACAATATATTTGATGTGAGGTTGTAGTTGGTGAGGAAGGAAAAATTATATATTGTTCGTAATATTGAGGATATGTTAAGTTATTAAATTTAGGAAGATTAGGTTGTGCCATATATTTCATTATTGTATCATCATAATAAGGATTTTCATTATCTTTATTAATCATATAGATAGGTAATATTGTATATGTTCTTATATTTGGAGGTTCAATTATAAGAAATTTTACAGTAGTAGATGAATTACATATTGTGTGACCCAATAATAAAAACATTAATTCCATCAAACCAAGTCTATGTGCAATTATATGAGCTCTTAAAGAATCATTTTCATAAATATTAAAAATATGGGAAGGGTCTCTTTTTGCAATATATTTAACTATATATCTTGCAAATCCTTTACTAGTTATATATTGTATATTCATATGGACATTCCAGATTAATAATGTTGGAGCATGGTATGGAACTATCCATAATCTGCATTAGTTAGACATTTGTATACATAATAATGATTTCTTTCTTCATAATATATATTTTCACAATAAGAACAAGAAAATACTTTTTTATATACTTGTTCTGAAAGTGCAGGTCCTTGACATTTTGCATTACAGGTATGAATTTGATTGTTTATAACTGCTGTATAAAGTTTTGGTTTATATATAGGATTTGACACTGTTGAATGAATTATTTCATTTTGAATCATATTTTCAATAATGTTAGTAGTCTAATAACAACTATGTATATGAGCTGCTCCTCTATTTTGAAATTCTACACAATCAAGAAAATTAGTAATTTTACCAAATCCTGTTAATTCTGATTTTTTATATAATTATTTTTTCAATGATTGAAAGATATGTACAAAATAATTAGCACAATAAAAGGGTTGATTTGTAGGTAAAGTATTACCATTATTACTATTAGCAAGTATTCCATGTAAATGAGTTCAACAACTTTCTGCCATACTTGATGTTATAAATAATGTAGATTTCTAACTTTTGTAACATGGCATTTAGATGAAGCTGTCTATTATAAAAATATATATCATCTGTATATATAAATGTAGGAAGTAGGAATGTTTTATTTTCATTAATTATATTATGTGACATATAAGTACTTGGTTGGAGTAAATCTTGTGCAGTAGGTAAACCTGTATTTAGATTTAAATTTAAATTTGATTGTGTTAATAAACTTTGTGTATTTTAGTGATGTCTTAATTTTTCTAATTGTAGATATGACCATGAGGACCAATAATGATGTAGTCACCATCATGAATCATAATTCATTAATTGTTATTTAATGTATTTTCCATAGGTTTCTTCTCTAATATTATTTTTTATTTGTCAATTTGTTATATCATGAAAATGTCATTTTCCATCTGTAAATATATCAAGAAAAAGTAAAGCTTCTAGGTTTGGATCATGTGTAGAATTAGGTATTTTTAATGTATCACTTTCTTGAATAAATCCAGCCATTAGTTGTGTATATTGAAAATCTTCATTATGTACTTCATCAGGAAAATTATTATTTAGAATAATAATTTCATATGAATTTACAGGAGATATATTTACATCTGTTTGGGCATGTTGTACTTGTGGAAATGGTATATTTGTAGATAAATGTTGGTGTGATAATAAAACTTGAAGATATAAATTATTTTCTGCTAACCAGGTAGCAGCTCTTTGTAAATTTTTATTTTGATGTAAGTTATCTGATTCATTAATATTAATATTAATATTATTAGGTTCTAAAAAAGCACCTATGGTTCCAAAATATAATGCATGAGCTCTAATATTGCATGAATAATTTATTATTCCAATTAAGCTCCTATATTCAGAATATGCATTGCTATTTGGAGTTATTCCTAGAGAACAATGTAAATAAATTTGTGATAAATGTTTTTGAAGATGTAAAGGAACTGATATTATTTCTTCAGGCATAGGGGATAAGTAAGGAAATGAAAAATGTGTTGATAACTTTTACAAGATTCACAAGTTGGAACTTTAGCATAATCAGCATTAAAATGAAAAGATAAAGAGATATTTGAAATATGTTGTTGTAAAGGATATGTGATTGATGATATGTAAGGTATCCAACATGCTTTTTTAGGATACAATAATTTTTCACAATATACATATGCAATCTGAGGCCATTGTTTTAAAATATTATTTTGAAATTTATCATATAATCTTTGTAATTTTGAAGAAGGTCTTCAGTAAGTGGTTGAATTTAATTGTGTTCGATTTTGAAGTTGTAAATAGTTCTGATTCATCTGTAAAATTTAATAAAGTTTCATTTTCATTGTCAAAAGTATATATATTATGAAGTTGATAACTCATTTTGATTTTTGATATATTTAAAGATTTTTTTTAAGTTAATGTAAATATTATTTATAATAAAAAAATTATTTAATTTCAATATAATGAACATAAGAAATTTTTCATTTGTTAGAACAAAAAATATTTATTTTTTTTATTTATTATTAGAATAAGAGATGTTTGTTTTTCAAAAACAATTATAATTCACTTCAATATTTAATATTTTATATTTAATTTATAATTTTAATTTTCATTTGTTATTTATTTATTTTTCATTTGTCTTAAATATTTATTATTTGTTTTATTGTTATAAGAGTAAAAAAATAAATACAATTGTAATTTATATTAACCCTTATTATTTTATTCTGATTTATAATTTTGTTTTTATTTGCAAAATAAAAGTAATTTATTTTAAAAATAGAAATTAGTATATATTCTTAATTTAGTTAATAAATATGTATAAAAATATAAATATATTTACATCTAAATTATATTTCTGTATATATTTTTAAATTAGTTAATAAATATATATAAAAGTATAAATGTATTTATACTTAAATTAAGTAATTTTGTATAAATTAAGTATTTTATATCCATACTAAATTAGGTATGTGAATTAAAAAAAATATATTTTTTATATAAAAAAAAAAAATTGATATTTTTAACTATCTGAGCTATTTGATACATTTGGAGGAGGAGGATTATCTACCATATTTGAAGGAGGATTGTCATGTAATATGTCACTTAAGGATTGTTGCAGGCATTTGATTAAGTGTTCTATGTGGCCTTCTAGAAGTTCTTGGAGTAGTACCTCTTGTTGTTCGAGTATTTCTTACTGGTGTACCTCCTGGACTGTTTGATTGACCTGTTTCTTGATTATTGGTTGTTATAAGTATGGAAAGATCCTCCAATTCTAATACATGTTTTCTGAGAGATTCATCTGTATCTGGAATCTAATTAATATTTCTGGTTAGAACTGCTCTTGTATATCTAGTATTGATATTTATTGCATCAGTTTTTTTAGTTAGATATTTATTGTTTGAGGGGTGAATTACTTCTAATGAAAACCCAGGCTGTTCATGGTCACCAAGATATTCTTGTATTGTAAATCCCAATATACTATTATCATCTTTTCTTGTAACCTGTTGTGTAGTATAACCAATTACTACTGTATCAAGTCCTAAAACTGGCATGTTATTAAAAGTAAGGTCATGTAATATTTTTATAGATGTTGTGCTAACTTTAATTTGTTTTTATTTATTTTGTTTTGAAAAAGAATAAAATTAAGGTTAAAAAAAATTAATTAAAAAAAATCAAATGCATGTAAATAATAAAAAAAAATATTACAATGTAATATTGATCTGCTGCAATAAATTTTCCTTTAACAAACACGATATCTTCTTTTTCACAATTTTCAATCTTTGTCTTGATTTTAGTGTTAATTGGGATAAAAGCCTTTATCTTTAGATATACTATTCTTTTTGGACCATCATCACTTAACCTCACTATCCCAGTAAATTCTCTAACAGTATATTCAGTTGTCTGACGCTCAGTACTATCATGAATGTAACAAATAGTAGAAATCTTAGCAGGCATCTTTTTTTCTTTTTTGATAAAAAAATAAATAATAAAAAAGATTGATTTTTTTTAATAAAAAAAGGTTAATTTTTTAATCAAAAAAAAAAAGAAAGAATTAATTATTTTTATTTATTTTTTTATTTTCGAATCCATTTTTCCATTCATCGTTCTCATTAATTCCTATATCTGATAATCATATGGCTCATATGGTTTACGCCGAAAAATAGATTCAAAAAATAAACAAATTAATTTTTTTATCAAAAAAAAAAAAAGAATTAATAAATTTTTTTATTTATTTATTTTCGAATTCATTTTTTCGTTCATATGGCTCATATGGCTTACGGATAAAGGAGCTGGATAAACAATAAACAAACAAAAAATTCAAACACATGATCCTCTTTTATTTTTTTATATAAAGGACATTTGTTCTTAGGGAGGAGGGTGGGCGGTCTTTAATCGTAATGGTAATGGTAACGGTAACGGTGACAGAAATCGATACTCATCACCATTACCATTACCACAAGATTATTTTAAAAAGACCCAATGTTTTTCCTTTTTCGATAAGAAAATCTTGCCAAAAAAAGAATATAATGGGCAAGTGTTTTGAACACAACGAACACAAATTTACTATAAAAAAACCACTTAAAACCCGAAAACCCATATCACGCTATATACTAATTTGGAAAAAGATTCAGTCTGTTCTGTATTCTATTATAATATAAATAATGTAATAATGCATTAATAATTTATAGTAGTTACATAAGAAATGATGAAAACAGGAGAAAACCTTATCAAATAACAACATCGCTATTGATTAGTTTAATATTGGGAGTAATAGTTACCGTTTCAACCAATTCAATTAGATAAATACAAGTTTCGTTAGAAGTATAGAAATAACAGACAGTACAGTGAGACTAATAGGAAATACTCTATTAATGCGAAATAAATATGGTATTTCATAATTAGGAAAAATCCCGTTGTAGATTTCTCAAAACTTTATTATTAGGACTCTTTGTATTAATGATATCAAATAAAATATTTTATCGAATTAAACAATAAGGAAAGTAGGACTTATGATATCTATACGTTGTATGTAGTAAATTAGAAAAATAAATAATTTATATGATAAATAAAAAATAATTAATTAATTAAATTATAATAATTTAGTCTAAAGATCGAGTAGCTTTCGATATAATTAAAAAAAAAACAGAAGAAAAGGGATTAATAAATGAAATATAGAATGTACAATATTTGAGGGGACAACCAGTTCTGAAAAATTTTCAAAATCGATGCATTTGTAGTGGGAACAGGTATTAATCTATATTACGGATAATATGATAAAGTAATTTAAAAAAACATCATATAATAATTATTATGTAAAAGGATTTATAGATAGTTACTTTGAGTTTTCATTTGGACTAATATGTCTAGTTTGCAAAGTAATAAACTGATATTTGTACATAAATCATTAAATTTGCTTCGCTTCCTAAAGATGGGATATTCCAAAATTTATTTCCCACACTACTAATAAAAATACTACTTACCACTTTGTTATTTTAATATGATCACGATTATATCTTATGTAATCAAAGATCTGTGAAAATTTTGAAAATTATATTTTTAAAAAACGCCAATATTAAGTGTTGTCTAAAAATAGTCATTCTATATTTGGTAAAGATTAAAATCTCAAGACTAAATTTTCATTCCTTTTTTATCAAGCGATTGTTTTTTAAAAAAAATAATCAATAATATTGTAATTATATAATAAGTATATAAGCGACCATTGCCGTTAATACGTATTAAAAATTATCAAAATGTATTTTTTAGACTTTATCAATAAAGACCTACCACTTAAATGGATCCGACGAATTGTTATTTGTATATTAGTAACCTTTTTAATTATTTTCTCTATCGTATTGATTATGAGAATGATTAATGAAGAGCCTGGTCTAAAAATATCTTATAATACAAATATGAAAGAACAACCTATGCCAAGTAAAAATAATTCTTTGATTTTAAATACTGTAAACGAATGGCATATTTTTTTTTAATGCCGAAATCATAATCAATATAGATTTCTATTTTAATTTTGATAAAAACTTTAATATAAGTTGTGATTATACTGGAAGTAAGAAGCTTTAATTATTTCATAAATTGATTTTTATTCTGTTTATATATATATATATATACATATATCTAATCCGAAATATTCAAAAGGTGGAAAGTGCCCTGTTGATTTTGTAAACAACAGTTACAATGATTCAGAAGAAGGATATGTATATCAACTTGCATTTTTACCAAAGGGACAAATATTTTTGGGCTCTAATGATTTTCTCTGGTTTGATATACTAATAAATGATGAAAAATATAATCGTTTTGATCAAATGACTCCTATGACAATGCAAGCATATGATTCAGGTATTTTTATGAAATTGAGACATTTTGTATCTTTAGTAATAATAACAAGTGACAATAAATAAATAGAATATCCGTACCAAAATAAACATCCTAAACTTATTAACTCAATTAAGGTGGGAAATTCATATTATTTAACAGAATCTAATGGTACAAATGTACGTATATTTAAAATCATCATTCTTAAATGGATTTTATTTGTACGTGTTAATAAAAATACTATTAAAAAAATCAATAGGTATTTTATTTTGAGTTCTATAGGATAAGAAGAGAAGAATTGGATACCTCGTTCCCTACCCTACTTGGCTTCAACTCAAAATATGAAATATACTATTACATTGAATCTGAAATGCGTATGCGAATTTATCATTTTAATTTTACGTATTTTTTTAGTACTAATGTTTTTTACGTCGTAACTATAGAGACTGTCGAATATTCGGGATCAAATGGTTATTACGGAAGGGCGTCAATTAACCTAAAAACTCCTATTTTGGAAGTAGAAAAAGAACAAAGGTAAAAACCATTTTAAATGAAAATCCAATTCGTTAATATCTTGTTATATTTGTTACCATATTTTGTTAATATATTTGGATTACAACTTTATAAACAATAATAATAGGGCTCGTTCTGTAAGCAACATTATTTTTTTTTTTTTTTGGAAATTTATCATATACAACTAGTGATTATTATTTTTGGATAAATAGATCACAGAAGTGTTAGCAAATATCGCCGCTCTTTACGGATTAACTTGTGGGATTTATGTATTCTTATTTGGTAGGTTGGATTTTTTTTACAAATGAAATTAAATCATTTCATTGTATAATTTACTTACTCATTTTTTAGGAGTAACAACAAGCAAACCACTCCTAGGAAAATATATGACCGCCAAGGATCCCTCCGATGATTCATGATTTAAAAATTTAGAAAAAAATAATTTGCATTTTATTTTAATTATGAATGATATATATGATTTTTTATTATAATTTATTTTTAAATTTATAATTTATATTATTTTATATATTTTCAACCAAATTTCCAGATTGATATTTTACCTCATCTCATTTAAAAAATCTTCATTTATATAAGCGTTGTTACCACCTGTAGAGAAAGTTACGAAAATTAAAAAGAATTTTGGTTTAATTCCATGATTAACAGAAATTTAATTAAAGGTAAAGATTTCGGATGAAGGCAAATAAATAATAAAACGATAAAATATCTAAAACTACACTTTAGTTTGCATCAAAAAACTTTATTAAAATGTTAAACTGCGATACATCTGTCTTGTCTGCCTTAACTACAAGCAAAGAGAATTCGTTTCTCTTTTATGATAATTTTTACAAGCTGTCAATTTGAGTCCTAAGTTATCGATATGCTAACTTAGTTGTCGGATATTAAGAGTCTTAGATACACTATTTAATAATTAAAAAAATAGAGAAGACACAATAAATAAATAAATAAATATCTAGTTATACAACAAATAAAAAGAATAAATAAAATAAATAGAAAATAAGAAAGATGAACATTCAAACGTCCATAATAAATTACATTTACAGCTTCCAATTGTTTTGTGAAATACATAATTGCAAATAACTTTTTATTTCAAAGAAACGTATCATTTCATTTAATATTTTCGTTATGAAAACTAATATTAAAATAATTAAAATACATATTAAACAATCCGTACTAATACTTTCTTTATTTTAATCAGTAATTAATCATCAGAACTTTGATTACTTGTTTCAAATTTTTTCAGAAAGAATCTGATAAATCTAATATTACAATTTTTAAGTATAAAAAATAAACAACCAGAATCAAATTAATAAATTAGTATTGTCCGGTGCAAAAAGATTTGCACCTCAAAAAGATTTGCACCTCAAAAAGATGCTAATAAAATTTTTTTTTTATTAAGTAACTATCTTTTTTTTTATTTAAATCACATCAATACATGTTCGGAAATATGAAAATATAAATTTTATATTAAATTTATGCATCATTATCAGAATCGCTATAGTTATCAAATTCTTCATCAATTAATTGCGCATCTTCATCAGACTCAAAATATTCCTTAGCATTTTTTAGTGCTTTTCTCCAAAGCCCAACTACAATTTGTGAATCAATTTTATTTTTAAATGCATTTAAAAGTATATTTCGTACAGATAAAATATTTGTATGTGGACCCGATCTTGCAACTTCGCCCTTTACAACTGCCCAAGCACCTTCAATTGACTGAAGTTCACAGTAATAGGGGGGAGTAAAAAAAACTTGATGGTCAAATTGTTTTGCTATTTCGACACAAGTAAATGGCACCTTTTCTTTGTTTATTTGAACCAGCTCAAAAAGTTCCAGTCTTCGTGATTCACTGAAAAAGCAATATTATGAGCGATTAGCCAGTCAACAATTTCTTTTTTTTGTGCTTGATGATAGAATACTTTCGATTCGTCATTTATGATAGCTTGCCCTATCCATATGAATTTCTACTGGCCCATATTTTTCATAAAGTATTTTACAAAGAGTAGAAAAAAGGTAAAAAAAGGTCTTCAAAAACTTCTGCATTAAAATTTTCATGATAATCCACCTGATCAGGAACAATATCGGCACCTTTAACAACATCAGAAACATTATTCCATTCTTCAGCATTGTTTCTTTTCCTTTCTCAGTTTCCTGGAGGTTTAATTGATGGATCCCAAATATGAATAGAGTTCGGAATAAGTTCACCATATAGCTTGTTTGAAGACCCATTTCAAAATACAATAATCGTTCCAAAAATTACTAATAACAGACCATGCCCAGGTGCCAAGACAACACCTTGATGGGGAACCCATGTGTTTCGTGAAACATGATGCAAATGACAATATGATTCATCAAGAAAAACTTCTGGATAGCGTGGAATATTATTTTTGCCTTCTAGATTTGCAAACTGAAAGTGAAGATATCAGCAATGAAATGCAATATTATTTGGTGACTCGTGAAGAAGGTTTCTCTGTTCTCCTTGACCATAATAATAGCCCAAGTGATGTAGTAGTTGGAGAAGCTTCCACTTAGAAAATGTAAATCCTTGTTCAGAAAGAAACTGGCATAGGACAGGTGTAGAAATTTGTTCACCACTTTTATTTGCCTTCAAAATTATTGTACATAAAAGTTCTGTAACATTTTCATCAGGTTGAAATTTGGGTCGACCAAGAATTTTTTGTAGTGTAAATGTACCATCATTACACCTGTTCCAATCTGATACCACGCCTCCAACTGTTCTCTCGGCAACACCAATACTTCAGCAACTCACTTACGTAATGTAAGCTTTTGATGATCTTCTCCTAGGGAAATAGCACCAGAAAAGTAATTATAAATGTTAATTATCATCGATTTTTCATTCTCTGTTAGCGGTGCATCATTTCGTTTTAAGGGAAAGTAAAAAAATTTTTGCAGCAGATCCATTTGGTCATGTTCTACAAAACATGTGAATTTCAAATTGTCATGTTAGTTGTACAACATTTTTTATTTGACGCGAATCACACCCTTTTTTGGTGAGGTGCAAATCTTTTTGCACCAGACCATATTATATTCAAATCAATTTTTTCTAACAATTACCTATTTTCGTTTTTTTTATCTAAAATTAAATTTTCTCATTTTTTCATCTAAAGATTAATAATAAATCTTCATTCCAAAGATAAATGCTCATCATTTTTATCACTTGACGATTAAAATATTTTTGTTTTTTATTTAATGATAAATTTTCGTTTAAAGGTAATTCTGATTCAATAATTGATGGAAAACTTAAAATATCACTGTTAGAAATACTGGATCCCAAATTTATCATTAAATAAAATAAGACGAAGAAAATAATATATTATTAAATAAAAAATACTTGTCCCATAATTTATGACTAAAAAAAAAACAATTGCACTTACTGACTGCAATAATGAGTCAAATAAAAATAATTTTGCAGGCGGATCTGTGATCAAAAATTTACTAGAAAAATATAAAAAAAATCATTAAATGGTTGGAGGATATAAAAGAAATACTATCTCATCTATTTCACATAGGAAGAAAAATAATAAAGGGTCAAAGAAATGATCATATAGTAATAATTTTCTGCATGTGCAGTAGATTTTAGGAGATGAAAAGAAATCGATATAACCAATAAGAGTAAACATTAAGTATTTTTATTAACTTTATATTAATTAAGATTTAGGTAGGTATTAGCGAAGGTATTATTATCTATTACTCGTATTGCTTATTAATTATTAAAAGATTTAGATAATAATTGTCCGGAGGAAGATGATTCCAACAATAATATCACACGTTCACAAGAGTTAGGAATTAATGAAAACCTCTAACAAACTTCTTGAGAAATTGATCAGTAAAAATAGAGATCTTAATCCAGAAAATGAGATATTCCACAAATTGTTTCTTGCTTAGCAAAAATACTTGCAGTGCGATAACAATGATTAGTATATTATTATTATTGATTTTATTTTGGTTATAAAATTAAGCATGTTAGTTATTTTAGGTGACTCGAATGATGAAAAAAAAAAGAAAAACGGAAAGTTTTTTTTTATCATTATAAAAAAATGTAACAATTGTTCCTTTAAGATAAATAATAGATATTTAAAAATGTAAAAATTAAGTATTTTTTATATAACAAATGTCTTTATTATATATTTAATTACATAAGCTATATTGATAATATAATAGAATATATCTAAATTGAATAAAATTAAAATTAGACAAAACTAGGATGATTTATGTACATTTATTAAATATTTTTTATTAAATGGTAATTTACATTTAATAAATAATTTTTAATATCAAATGAACAATTTAATTTATTTTATTATAAAAGATGGCATAAACAAAAATTGTTTATTTATTTAAAAAAAAAAAATTTTGGACAGTTTGTTGAACATTTGTTGGATGTTTTATTTTACATAAGGTGGTGGTGGTTGTGATGGAGTCATTGTTGATGGTAGAATATCAACTGAAAGACGATTTGAACGAAAATATAAAGCGCAGAGTACTAATGTGAAGCCAACTATTAATCCGATAACAAATAATGTAAATCCGACAAAAACAATAACTCCGTTATTTTTGCTATTATTTTGATTGACATTTGTAGGAGTAGAAGAAATTTGTTTCGCCTTTGTTGGAGAAGTCAACCGAGTGGTTGTGAATGCTTGATAGTAACTACTGACACTACAGGATGCCTTGACAACTAACTGGGAATTTTTCAAAGAATATATAATTAGTATCAATAATTAAATATCAATTTGTTATCTAAATTTTTTTTTAATTTAAAAATAAAATAATTACCGAATAAGCTTCAGCTTCGGCTACAATATTAGGATCATCGGTACATTGTCTGTAACATTCAGAAATGGCTATGACGACGTTATAGAAATGAATGAAATGAATTTCTGTTTTCTTTAGAACCAATATAACAAAAAATTCATAAATTTTCATACCTTTAACTGCACTACATTTACAAACAAAATCAGTTGAAGTACATAAAGCTGAATTGGAACTTTCACGCTGCTTACATGAACTATAGACAGCTGAATTTGAACAATTCGCTCGAACGATAGGCACGAAGGTTAGGAGAGCTGCCAAAAAGAAAACACATAAATGACTAGAGTTATTAGAGTTCATCAGTATGTTTTTTAATTTTTAAATTTTTTGTTTCCTTTGGAAGAATTGTCAATTTTTTTATTTTGATTATTTTCTTTTAAGAACTCTAAGGAAGAGAAAATCCGATGTTTAATTATACTTTTGGATGAATGAATTAATTGGATGGATAAGGAAGAGGTATGTTAGATTTCTACACAACATATTCGTATACGTTGTACGCATCAAAAACATTCAAAATTGAGTAGTATAATGGATTTTTAATATTTTACAAAAATAGACATGTATTTCTTTAAATCATATTTTGCGATCTTTTTAATCGATAGAAATCCGGATTCAGGTCGGTTGCCTTCTATCTAGAACCCATTCTCAGCCTTCATTTTATATAAAACAGGATATTGATTATGAATTCGGTATAATCCATTGAATTGAATCCAAGTCATCAATTGTTGCATTGAGTCCTTCATTGCATTGAACGATAACATACCCAAGTGAATGTTGAGTCCCTTTTATTACCTAACAATTCTTCGCTTCCAGTGACATCATCGATATCATTTTCATTATTATAATCATTAAGAAAGATTTAAAACAATTTTGATTATAAATATGGTATAATTAAATTTAGATCCAAAATTTATCTTTATTTATTTGAAGACATCTTTAAATTTAACGTGAATTATTATTATGTAAGTGTTGCTCCTCAAATGTTTCAGATGAAATTGCTTATGTTAAGTAACATGTGAGTTACGTTTTTATAATTTTAATATTCCCATAAAATATAAATTTTCTTTATTAAGTCAAATGAAGAAATAGAAATTCATTTAGATCCTCCTTTTGTTGACAGCTTTTTATATTTAAAAAAAAAAAAATGTACAAACAATGTATTCAATTATGATCAAAAATTATATTGAAAATAGAAACCAGTTTATGCAAAAATTACAAACAAGGTTTAAAACGTTACGTAATATTAGAAATGTTCTTAATATAATCTTCTTAATAGAATTTTCTTAATAGAATTTCTTAATAGAATGAATCCATTCCTTTATCATTGTTATAATAATTTTTATATAACGATTTGAAAATATCAAATTCTTCAAATATTTATCTTAAAGATTATGATATAATTTTTTTTTAATCCTAAAACGTTAAATTTAACGTTCCCAATACTAATAAGAATATTTTCAAAGTTCTAATAAAATCATAAAAAAAAAAAAAATTATAAATAATTCATTTGTGAAATTTATTTATTTTAAACAGGAAAATAATTAGCAATATGAATAATATCATTAGAATCGAGAACGTCAAAAACATTGGTAATTTGTTTAATATTCAAGAAGAGAACCATTATTAGCATATTTAAGGGTATAATTATCGATATTTAAAAATAAAATAAATAAATGAATAACAAACAATGTTTATAACTATTAAGTATCGAAATATTAGAGAAACTGTTTTTTTTATAAGTTTTAAAAGTGGCTTTTATAAACATTTCCATTAATTAGTTTTTACATTTTCAAATTCAGAATATTGATAAAATGGAATATTTTTCTTTTTGAAAAGTATCTTTAATAATCAAATTATCTATCCAGGTCTCCCATTCTTTTGTAATTTCATTTCAGTTGTTTTTTTCATCATGAACTACTATTATTCAATTGGATAAATGTATCATGTCAAATAATCATTCAAAAGAGTGATGGTGCTTTGCGCTTATGATATTTAATTTAAACTTGTTCGAATATAAAAATTTATATATCTACATTTTTTACCTCCCTTTTCGATCATTAAAAATCTTCACGTTTATAAATTTTTATTTGATATGCGTCACGTGGTATTTGTTTATTGGTAGTCGAATATATTTTGAAAAGAGCGATAATTAAGAGATAGCTATATTTTATTATTATTAAGTTAGAAATACAATATTGCGTTACGTTTACCGTTTACAAAAGAAAACATTAAATTGATATTATATAAAGTTTTATGTTTATCTGATCTGATAATACAAGAATTTCTAAAAATTTACTATGATTACAAAAATATTATTTTCATTGTTTAAACTTTTCTAAAAACTTTAAATACTTCATGATTATCAATAGAAATCTGTCCGGTGATGTTCTTATAGGTTTTTAATAAAAATCGTCGTCTAAATTAAATTATGTCCATACAAATAAAAACAACCAAGTTCAAAACACACGGACCACAAACTTTTTGATCATTTGTATTCACATTAAGAAATGCATATTGGGAATACTTTACTCTGCTAAGAATTGAATTTTGAATATTCCCATTTTTAATGAGAAAATAAAACTATCTTTATCCATCTACGCTAAAGGATTATAACCTCCAAGAATCTCATCAGTTTCTTTAACTTTCGCCACAACAACTGTACTAGCGTGACCATGGCAGATATTCCAAACGGTTATGGAGCAAAACCATCTTTAGTTCCACGCAAAATTAATTCGAATTTATGGGGAATATTTGTTAGCGGGTAAGTAGTAAATCCAACTAGAAATTTTCGCAGCATAATTTTAACAAATGATATTGAAAAGATTCTTTTCAATTAATTAGAAAAGCATTATTTGAAATAGCTTAAAACTTCCGTTTCGATGATTATACTCACGGTCTTACTATTTTTAATGCACAATCAGTTAAATAATAATTGATTAGAGAAGTGTTATTGATTTTGAATTAACTTGAAATTTTATTTCAATGATTTTGAATTTTATCTATAATAATATTCATGCAGTTATTTGACAATTAATTTGAAAAGCATAATTTCATGTTGAAATAGCTTAATATGAAATATTCATAATTAATTGATAATTAATCAGAGAAATGGTTGCAATGATTATGTTCATTGAAACCAAAATTTCAAGCTAATTCATCGAATAATACTTGTGTGAAATTATATTGTGATTATGAATCGAAATACTTACTCTATAATTATTAAATATTAGATAATTAATTATAGAAGTGTTATTGAATATTAAATTAACTTGAAATTTTGGTTTCAATGGTTTTTATGAATCTAAATACTCACCGTCGATGACCATTGGTGATAAATTTAATAACAAAATATTTAATTATAAAAATATAATAATAATATATATCATAATATAATAATAAATTAATATTTTTTATAATTAATGATATAAATCTTATCAAGTTCTTTATCTAACGCCAATATTCCAATATCTAGAAGCAGCTACGAAACATACATATAACACCACCATAGAATGAACTTAATGTTTATAAATTCCTAATCCTTAATAAATATAACAATAAACAATTATGTACATATTTTATATCCATTTGAAATAATATAACTAATAAATTATTATTATTATCAAATAATTGTATTCAAAAATATATTTTATCTATTTAATGAAATTTATTTTATTAGACAAGGCCTTCACTTTTAACTCTAAAAATTTTATATTGGATTTATCATAATTATTCTTTAACATTTTCATTAAATAAAGTAAAACCAAAAATTTCAAATATTTCAAATATTGAATATTTTAAACAAATGTGAAAAAAATATTTCTGTTACTCTTACATTCTTCACTCTGATCCAGAATAAATATATGCTCTTTTTTACTTTAATTTTCTACTCGCCTAACAATTCTATAATAGTCACCATACATATAACTTTTTTTTGAATTCGTTCTCAATATAATTCTTTCATTGGTATATTCACCAGTTTTACAGCTGATAATGACAATATTTAAAAATGAAAATAAGTTAATAAGTTGATTACATGATAAAAAATAAGGCTCTATTCATTTTCTCAACTAGAACTAAACCGATAAACATCAACCTTGAGAAATTTTTGGAGACGACCACCGAAACGCACGTGTCCCCGTATGTGATATGAAAAACATGTGCACCATTCTAAAATGTTTCTCACATAAAATTTGAATTGTTTTTAATATATTTAAAAAAATAATTTATTCTAAATGATTAAATATTGGTCTGCTTTAATTTAAATAAAGCTATTCTCAATAATTCAAGTATTTAGATAAAATACATAAATATATAAATAAATTGATAAATATAGATAAGTTGATTTTAAAAAAAAAATTAAATGTTGCTGGTTTCAAGAAATATTACATTTATCTCTTAAAGATAAATTAGAGATATGTTTTTTTAATACTATTCCGTTGTTGGTGAATTTGAAGCTATAAATTGATTTAATAGTAATTGATTGTTAATTAATATTAAGTTTTAATTTATTATTGAATCTTATTTAAGAAATATATTACCGTTCATAATCTTTATAATTTCAGAGTTACTAGGAATTGTCATTAATATCTGTCTTGAATCTAAAATAAATAATCAGTAAATTTTTCAAATAAAATTATTTCTTACAAAATATACTTACTAGATATTCTATCAAAAATACTTTTGTATATTGATTGAGGGTATGCTTCATTTGGATTATATTGAATAAAATACTCATTTGATTATTCAATATCTTTAATTTGTTTATTTAATTCATTATTACCCTTAAGATAATATTCATCTAGTTGAGTTTCTAATTCTTTAGCAGTTGGCTGATTGTGAGGTTCGGAATCCCAACATTTTTCCATTAAATCCTTGAGCAACAGGGGAATTTTGTCCATTACAAATTTACATAAGATCTACATCATGTGGAGTATTATAGTATGATGGATAACTTGTAAATACTTCTAACATGATTATGCCGAAAGAATATACATCAGATGCTTGAGAATATTCTCCTCTATTCAATATCTCAGGTGCTGTGTATGGAATTACACCATAAATTTTATTTTGATCATTTTCTGTAGCTGGCTTGCACAATCCAAAATCAGTGATATAAGAATCAGTTAAGGATTCAAGAACATTATCAGAGTGAAGATCTTTGTGCACCAAGCCACATTCATGGATTTTCGCGAGTCCAAAAGCTATATAATATATAATTTTTAATTTTGCATGCCAATCTAATCTACTAAATTCCTTATTTAACATTTTTCGGAGACTTCCATGTTGTGCATATTGCATAA